TGAGGTGTGGGGCGCCTGGGCATTTGTCGTCGTTGTCACCACTGCGGCGATGCTACACATTAGGATGAATCTCACATTCGAGAGTTATAATGAGCTCCTTGTGATGATAGTGTTGACTTACCTCCCGCCTCTTACGGCGACGGTAGCTGCTACGTTGGACTATGCAGGGCAGGCGAGCACAGGTGACCATCCTAGAAGACCATTGACACGATAGCCGAATTCAACGTGGGAAAATTCTGGAGATATGACATCGAAATTCTGAGGAAATTTTAGAAGATTTTAGAATTTTGTGTAAACTTTCGAATATAGTGAGGGAACTCCCCACCTCAGGTGAGGAGAAGCGAACATATATTCCACTACTGCCCGGATTAGAGCTCATGGTAGAGTTGTCATCGCTCGAGAGAAAGTCATCTTTTGTGGGGGTAAATCCATCAACTCTGTTTTCTGCGGACAGTCACGCGGTCTACACTGTGGGTTAATATTGATCTAATTCTAAGTGTACACATGTCTTTTATGATATTTTAGTATTTTTTATGTGATATTTGGATATTACATGTTAATTTGTGAACTATGGAGGCAAAATCTGTCGAGAACTTCCGTTCGCAATTCAGTTCATTGTGGTCAACTCACAGCACGAGTGGGCCTTAATCAGGTATTTGAGGGTTTTTTGTCGGTATCAGGTGAAGACGTGGCCTTGGCCTCGATCGCCTTTCACTGTCTCTGGTATTATTATCTCGTCCTGCAAGCATTGGAAGTATCAGAAAGGCTGCCAAGGAAGTTCAACATCGTCAGCATGAGCTCAGGTGAGGTCTCTGTCGAAGTGGTTTTGTCTGATCTTAGTGTTTAGATATTCTAAGGGACGAAAACCCGCTGCGGAGTTTTGTTGTTGAACAGATGACGGAAGGACGAATTAATGTGAGTCTCGTTGGTATAAAATTTAATTACTATCTTTGGACTAATCCTTGGGTGAAATCTGTTGAGATTACCTTGTGTTTTTGAGGAAATTCAAATTCTTAGCAAAACTTCCGTTTGGAGGATTGGGTTCAACCTTTATGATAATAGAGTTGCCCAAGTTTGCAATTTCCAAACTCACGGTAAAGTAGTTAACGAGACAGTGTAATATTGGAATATATATTCGCTCTCCGCAGCCGAACTCAGGAGTTTCCTCATTATATTTACATATAAATTCGGGTAGAATTACACTATAATCAACATCGAATTCCCTGGAACGCCAACACATGTAGTTGGCCATGGGTATAGTCCCCCATATTGAGATGTTATATTATTGGGCATGATATGAATCTTATAGTGGAGACCATCGTTCGTATCTTGTTCAGAAGAGGAGGCCTGGTGATTTCGAGTGGGACTATGAGCGCAATGGTGAGTTTCCCATCAGAGAGGACGATATGGATGAGTTCGAAGAATTGGCGAAAAAGGACGAGAAAATATTGGGTTCAGTGGGCTATACTGACCACGTCGAGGAGCGCGGAGGAAACAAGTAGATCGTTTTTCGATTCGCACGCATGCGCATCTCTCTCTCAGGGAAGTTTCGCAGTTGGCATTGATGGAGGAAGGGCATGGGAAAATCGGTGGGTGAGAGAGAGGGTTTTTTTCCGTGAAAAACTATTGGGAAAATTTAATGGTTCAGGCCAGTGTTGAAAAATATGTT